GCCAGGGGCTGGCGGAGCAACCGGGCAGCTCCTGGGGGCTTCCCTGCGCTGAATCCTGCCCTTCTTTCCCATTTCCAGGTGGCTCGATGGACAAACCCAAACCACCACTGGCTGCTTCCCTGCTGGGCTGTCCAGGAAAGGTGGTGGAGGTCTAGCTTCTGGATTTTCACAGCCAGCAGCCGTTTTTGGGGAGACTCCTCCATGGGGCAGGGATGTGACCGACCAGTACTCCCAGTGGGGCCCAGATGGTTGGCAGGAGCGAGGAGACGAGCAAGTTCCAGTTCTGGTCATGAAGCTGCCTGAGCAGCCGTCCCCAGACATGCATGGGGAGCACCGTCTTCCAAACTGGCTGGGCCAGCGCTGAGGGCAGGGGATGGTGACCCCCCCGCCAGCACGGTGAGAGGGACGGGTGTCCTGGGTGGCAGCACTGGCTCTGCCCGGCACGGCTCCCCACCTTGATCCCCACGCCTGCCTGGGATGCAGGGAGGGCATCCAGCCACCCGGACACACGTCCTGCAACCCCGATCCCGTGGCTCACCCCTCCCCGCAGCTTTTCTCCGCTCACCTTGTCCCTGTTCCCCGGCCAAAAGCTGCTGGATGGGGCCAAGTTGGTGAGTCTGGGGCTACAGGTCCCAAGGTGAGGGAAGGTTTGTTAATCCCCAGACTCCTCCTGAGCAGGCTGCAGCGGCACTGGCAGCACTGGGACCATTTTTTGGCAGATCTCGTCCTGTCACAAGGTGACCCGTTGTCTTAGCAGATGAACTTCCATCCTGGGCAGTGTTGCTGGATTTGCATTGCTGACATCACTTTCCAGAGGTCTAACGGCTGCTGGAAGAAACTTGCCTGGAGGACCCTTGGCGCCTGCAATCTTACCATCGCCGTTATAGGCTGACCCAGAAGTTGGTCTTTGCATTACGTGGATACCGCACGTGGAGAAATGGGCAGCCTGCTCTGCTTCATCCCTCCGTCAGAGGCAGAGCTGCCCAGACCCGCAGCTCAAGGGCTCTCCCGGACCTCACGCCGTGCTGCGGGAAGAGCTAAGGGCAAGCGCAGTCCTGTCCCGTGCTCTCCATCCCGCTGGAGATACTGGGAGGATGCCTCCGGCACGTGGTCCTCTGCGAACGAGCTTGGGGAGCTTGGAAAGGCAACGACACGCAGATGGGAGCGAATCCTCCAAACGGGAACAAAACGACGGCTCGTGTCTGCATCATGATGAGGTGCTGTTTGCCATGCATCAGTGCCGACTACCAAAACAAGCCTTCCTCCTTTTAATGCTATTTCAATAAAAATATAACAGCGTGCTCAGGGTGACTACCTGCAGCAGGGTGAGGGGGAGAGGGACTAAACACAGCAAAAGAAAGCAGGCTACGGTTAACAATGGAGCATTTAGAGAAAATAGAAAAAAGGCAGGCAGATGGCATGAATATTAGTGCATGAAAATGACTAACACTCTGAGAATTTCCCAGTGTACTTCTGACTGGTTTGGGCTTGCTTTTATAATTAATTTATGGAAAGCACCTAAATTGGGAATAAACACAATCTCGCAAATCCCTTCTAATCTCTGCCTGTATTTTTGAAATGATACCCTAAAGGTATAGTTTCTTACAATGATTAAACTGTTTTCCTTTTAAGAATTAAAAGGGACTTTTTTCATGCAATTGTGCAGAGCATTAGTGGTCAGGAACTGTTTTAGATGCAATCTATTGTTGGAAATGCCCGGATGGGGGCATTTCCCCACCGGACCGCTGTATGCTAAATCTGCCAATATTTTCATTTTGGATTCATGTATTTTAATGCAAAATGACCGGGTGTGTTGTCAGCCACCTAATGACTCAGAAGCATTCTGACATTAGCATAAATTTGGAAACTTCCTTTAAAAGAAAAAATAAATGTATTTTTCATTAAGTTGCTGCTTCTCTCTGACAATAAAAGCAAAACTCCCTCCCTTGGGCACGATGTGCGGAAAGTGCTTGGGGAGGTCACGCAGCACCGACAATGGGGGGGATCTGGAGCGCGCTGGCAGTTCTTGGTCTCTGGGTGCACGCAGGAGCAAGCTGTTCAGTGCAGCTCTGCGTGTGAGGAGAAGCCTGTAGAGATACAGGTTTTCCTCCGCAGTTGCCGCTACCTGTACTTCGGCTCCTGGTGGTCCTCGCAAGGGGTTTCTGCCTGCTGCTGGTGGGGCCACGTGTCCCCGTTACAGAGGGGAGAAGCAGCAAGGGGCAGACAAGCGCAGCAGTGCCCTGGGATGCTTTCTGCTGGCCATGGTGGGATAAGGGTCCCCAGGGACAGCTATGCACAGCTTGTCACCTGGCCCCTGGGGAGGTACATGGCAGAAGCCCCTGCAGGACCACCGTGGGTGGGAGGGCACGTGCGGGAGGGCTGGGGTGCCCCCCGCCGCCTCTTTGTGCCCATGCATCGGCAGGCGATGGGAGGAGAACCCACGTGTACGGGGGGATACCCCCGGCCGGAGAGATGGTGCATCGAGGATTTGCTGCACCTCTGCAGCTCGCCACGAGCGCAAGCGGGACGCGAGTGGTTCTGGCATGAGCCAGGAGAGCCCCAGCTCCTTGAGATCTGCTGCGGTAGGCGTAGAGACAGGGCTGGCCTGGGGAGGGAGGGTGCGCCACGTGAAATTTTGGTTGTGTTCATGTGGGCTTGGGGAGGGGTCTGGTAGTGAGGACATGAGGGTGTGGGAAGGAAATGAGGTTTTTATTACATGGCTTATCGTGTTTCAACACGGAAATCAAGGTAAGAATTACCCAGGGCACAATCTGTCCCTTTGATTTGGCCTTTGCAGCTCAGTCATGCATAGGAGAAGCCTTTTCCTTGTTCCCTCCAGCAGCATCTCCTTGTAATGGCTAATGGGAAAATATCGCAGCAGTGAAAAACTCTCTCACCCTCATAAACACAATGACAAGGCTAAGTGATCCGTCTGCAGCACGAGCAGGGCATTTGGGCTGCATGTCTCAGATGAATGCTTCCCATTTTGCAGGCTGTTTGCATTTGCTTTATGAGCTCCAGCAGTAATTCAGGCAACTGCCAGACAAATGACAAGAGAGGAGAGACTGGCAGAGGATGCCGTGACGCTGGCTGCTGCCGAGGGTGCGTGGCTGGGACCTCTCATTCCCTGGGGGCAACCAGCAGCCTGGCTGGGAGGGCAAGCTTTGGCAGCAGCCCCCAAAACTGCCTGCACCCCAGCACCGCTGTGTCCCTATGCCAGCGCTGGGCAGAGTCCTTGTGGTGATGCTGCCCGCAGCGCATCCCACGGGGGATGCAGCTTCGCCTTGCTGGAGCGGCCAAAGCCGGGTTGGTTTTCACGAAGTCCACACCGGGCTGTTTACTCTTCTCCTGTTGCAGCGGTTTGTTCGATCGCAGCCTTCTTAGGGATCTGCATACTCCGTTTTGCTTAACGGTTGTCTCCTATGTGTAGGAGTGCTGGGTTTTAACATAGTTTTTCTATTCTTTGGGGGAAAAGGAGAGAGAGAGAGAAAGATTGAATATGATCTTTGTTTTCAGAATATTACTGCAGTAATTAAAATGCTTTGGATGGTGTTCTGTTCCCAGAAGTAATAAATAGTTTTGGCTGTTTTGCCCCATTAATTGCATATTAGTTAAATACGTATTTTTTATAACATGCGTATTCACTCACCTGCTTACTCTGACAGTTAAATGCATATTTAAATATGCATTATACCCTTTAATGCATAGTAATTATTTGGTACAGAGCAAAGACTCTTTCTGAGCAGTCCCTTTCAAGGGAGTACATGTTTCCATGCGCAGTCTCACGTCGACTCTGGGAGGGAAACCGCGTCAGGTCTGCTGAGGTCAAGTGGCACGGCCGGGCTGCGCGCACCACCGTGGCTCGTGGCGCTCTGCCACAGCTCCGGGCTGTCCATGGCACGGTGCAGGCATGGACACGGAGCTTGGGGCTTGTCCCTGCTGCCGGCAGGTTTCCCCCTGCAAACCTCCCACAGCGGCCGCCTTGCCTTTCCCGCGCCTGGGGCAGGCACTTGTGGAGCAAGCACCGGACTTTTACGAAGGGTCAGGCTTTGGGGAAGAGAGGAGGAGGAAGGACTGGTGATGGTGCACCAGACTGGTCTGGCGTGGCCCAGGGCGGGTGACAGACACATTGCCGGCACAGCAGCATCCGATGGCGGGGCGTCAGCTCCTCTCCTGGAGGACCATGTGCGCTTTGTGTGACGGCACGTGCTGGCTGGGAAGGGTCTGGAGAGCTTGCTCGGATTCCTTTTTCTCCTCCAGATCTCAGCAAAAGAGGCCCCAGTTTCAGATGCCCAAGGTCAGCATAGGTTCTGGACTCAGTGACCAGCTTGCCAAAGGGGCACCTCCTGCTAACTGGATGCTCTGTGGTGTCAGATTTTGTAGGAAACTTCGGTCGCACTCTTTTAACGGCCACAGTCAGCTGGCATGCTGAGTCAGGAACTGCCTTGGCGATGCTGATCGGTGTTCAATAAAAACTGAAGCCTGCCTGGGTGAGGGGAGCAGGACCACCAGGGTTTGAGACAAGACCGGCCATTCCTGTGATTGCCGTCACCTCCCAGGATTAACTGGTTTTGCTTTTGGACTGTAGTACAATGACAGCAAGGGCTCAGCAGAGTCACCATCTGTTAGGGAGAGTAAAAACACCTTTTGTTAGGTCACTTGATAACTGAGGGGCTCCCTGTATGTCTGAAAGCTCACCCACCTTTCTCAAGTACACCCAGATGTTGTTTCCTGTGACAGGACCCCGATCTCCTACCCCTGCCTGGGGACAAAACAGCCAGCAGCTCCTGGTGGCTGAACCTGAGCTCTATTAGACAAAATAATGACCTGGCGCAAGCTACACCCCTGCTGGAGAGGTGGGTTAGCAGTTTGCACGACCTCCCCCAGCCACCCTTGGTGCAGGCATCGTGCTGGGCAGATCTCTTCCCTCCTGCCCAAATTTCTCCTACTGCCACTTCCAGCCACTGGGGAAGCTGGGGAAGATCCCTTCCAGGGATTACCTGCCCTTGACAGCAGCACCGAGTTCCCCACGCAGCCACCTGCGGCCAGAGCACGGCAGAGAGCACCAGTGCGGCAGACCGGGGCCAAAGCTGGCAGTAAAGCCAAGATGCTCCCTGCGCTGACCATGCCTTGCTCCCATTTCGGGGCCACTGTGGCTGCAGCGAGACATCTCCATGGCATGGATGGGACAGACAGCATGCCTCTGCGGATGCTGGGAGCTAACTGAGCCCCAGGGGCAGGGCAGGAGGGCATTTACCTTTTCCCAGCCAGAGCTGGGTAGCGTGGGACGTTTTCAGTGGCACCAGCGGAGCTCTGCGGGGTGACATGCGTGCTCCCATCCCTCCCGGTGAATCCGGGACCTTGGATCGCTGCCGCCGCGATCGCCTCCTCCTTGGCAGTGCCTCCCTCCATCCAGGCAGCTGCCAGCCGTTGCACAAGCCGAGCATGCCCTGCTGGTGCTGCTTTCTACCACTCGTGCCCTCCCTGCAGTATTTTGCTTTTGAGACAGCAAGACTGCAAGGAAGGTCCGCGTCCTTTACCTGGCATGGTCTTGGGCCAGCTTTCATGGCTCCGAAAGGGGAGGGATCCAGCCCCGCACATGGGGACCTTCCAGCGGGACATCGGCTTGTGCTGGCCGCGTCCTTGCTGCAGCTGTTGGTCTTGGGTGGGATCGCTCTGTGAGCAGAAGTCGAGGGCACAGTGTGGCACCAGACCTGTTCCCGACTGGATGCCCCTCGGCAGTGCCGCGGCTGCGCCCCCCTCTCCAGGAGCTGCAGCCGGCCCTGGCGGCATCGCCGCTCCAACGTGGCCGTGTTTCCAGCAACGGGTCCGGCTGCGGTCTTCTCAGGAACAATGTACTCCTACTGTAATGTACCAGATTGTACATCAAAACTATTATTTCCAACATCTCTGGCTTAATTGTAAAACTATAATACAAATGACATTGGGGGTTTGCCGGAGTTAAATTTTAATAGCAAGCCAGCGCCCTTTTAATGACATTTTATACATTTAAATTGGGCATGATCCCTTTGGGAACAGTAATTTTATTCATGGAGATTATGTCTAATTTGAATATAAAAACACCACTAAAAAGATATTGGATTTGCTATTTTTCACTTGCAGGAGCTCCGGAGTCCAGTCTTCCCAACTGCCTGGGCTTTGGTGGATTAACAAAAAACAACAAAACCCCTTAACTTCCACCCGGCAAAGCGCGGTATAGAAATCTTAGTGTGCACAACTGGTCCCAGCTGGTCCACCTTGGCTCCCTGGCTGGCTCCGAGGTGCAGCAACGAGCACCGCAGCCAGTCCTCGGCTGTGGCTGTCCCTCGCCAGCTGCGACGCTGGGCACGGAGGGACAAGGGGGAAGAAGCCACCTGGGATGGACCATGGCCATGGCCAGAGGGTTACGATTCTGGAGGTAGCTCTGCCGAGCCGGCTGGTCCCAGACCCGGCACAGATCCCGCTCGCTTGGTGCCGCTGCGCTGGGCTTCTGCTGGAGGTGCTGGGGATAGCGACTACCTCCAGCACTGCTGTGGTCCTTCCCCCTTCGTGTGCTGGAGCTGGCCAGAGCCTCCAAATTTCAGCCCCAAATTCCCATGACTTCTGTCAAATTGGCGGATAGTTTTGCCAGGGTGGGTCCTTGCCCCACCAAGGGCAGGTCGGGGCACAGCCAACTCTGGTGGCAGCAGTGCCTCTTGTCTTATCTCATGACGGCCAAGTGAAAGACGGACAGCCTACAGGCAAAGACCCCCGGGGGGATGTCACCAACCCACCTCACCACCCTCTGTGCCTGACGGACCCTCGGGCGCTCGTGGACACGTGCACGCATCCAGCACCAAGGTTCACAGGGGCACCTGGACGGCTCCTGCTTCTGGCTCCTGCAGAGTCCAGATGTCCTTAGTGGAGAGGACGCTGAGCAGAAACGTGTCAGCTTCGTAAGCAGGATGCTTGAGCCCTTTCCCATCGGGATGGTCGGCTGGGGAAATCGGGGCTGTTTCAGTTCGCACCTCTGTTCTGGCTGTACCTTGGTGCGCAGGGCAGATGCCCGCTCCACGCGGCGCTGCAGGAGGAGGACAGCTGGTGGGCAAGTGAGATCTGCACACGAAAAATAGCTCTGCTCCCTGGAGGGTGCACCGGTGGCCGGGGTGGGCTGCTTTAAGAGAGCTGAGTTAGTCAGCACATGGGACTGCGTGCAACCCTGCCTGGCCACGAGCCGTACCCTTCAGCGCAGCGAAGCCGATAACGGCGCTGACACTGATGTGCGCCTGCACAAAGCTGCAGCCTCATCTCCGAGACAGGATAAACTGTTTGGCCTTTGGACAAGATTATTTTCGTTCAGAACAGGATTGTTATCACTTAATTGAAAATAATTATCCAATGCAAATTGGCTTCAAGTTGGCAGGCTGAGTTGAGAAAACGGTGAATTTCCAAGCTGTCCTGAGGAGAGCTGAGCGCAGTAGCAGGGTGAGAAGCTGGGACTGTCCACAGGGTTGGGGGAGGATACTGGGGGGGGGGGGAGACGGTCCCCTGCAACACCCACACCCCACGAGGAAAATGAGGGGGGGGCCGTCCTGCCTGCCTGGTGCTTTCATGCACTGGGACCCTCCAGTTTGCCTTTCCAAAGCTCGGACAAGCTTTGAATCTCCCCCAAGAGCAGGAAGCCTCAATCCATCAGCAGGCAGCGCCAGCCAGTGGTGTCCTGCTGGCACGGCTGGCATCGGCTGCAGCCAGCAGACAGCACGGGTGAAAATGAGATGAGATGCAACTTTGACCTGGGACTGGCTGAGGGTCAACCCTCTGGGCACTGCAGGAATCTGACATGTCCTTTGGTGAAAGAGTGCTGGAGAAGGCCACGGTACCTACACAGCCCCCGTGAAGGCGGTGGGAGCGTTGGCGCTGGAACCAGCTGCTCGAGAGACCTCCGCTCAAGGGGAATGGGGAAGGTGTTGAGCCCATACCCCATCCCGGGGGGGGTGTCTGCGTCTGGGATTTCTTCACACAGAGGATGCAGCTTTCCTGCTGCTGTCGATTACGATAGCTGCAGTCATGCCCAAGGGATGGAGATGGCTGTTGCCATAGAGGGTCTGGGCCACTGCCAGGTTGTGGAAGCCTTCGGAGAGCCAGGCAGAAACAGACCCTCTGGTGCTCCAACCCAAGGGGGCACCTAAGCCTTGGCTGGGCTTGTGCCTCTTCTGCAGACCCCATTCTTGCTCTGCACAAGCAGCCCATCATTCAAAACATCACCTGCGTCAGCATGTCCTCCCTGGTAAACTTCTTCTCAGGAGAACCAGAGATCCCTATGTATCTTTGTGAGATCTCCTCCACCCCAACCCCCTCAAAACGTGCTGAACCTTCCACTTTTGGGGTCCCTGTGGACACCCTTGTCTGCAGGCTCCATGGGCCACGGTCATCCTGAGAAGGGTGTTCTGCCAGGGAAGACCCTGACGAGAGGAGATCACCTGGGGACATGTCCTGCCCTGAGTGAACGTGGATGCCTGGCCGGTGAGGAGCCTTTTTTACAACACAGTGGTGCTCTCTCTGTCTGTCTACCATGGGGAAAGCCAGTGGGGCCAGCCAGAGCCCATGGAAAGGCGCAGGGACTCCGGTTGTCCGAGGCCATCTGCACCAGCAGGGACAAGCCCTCCGTGGTGAGCAGACCCTCAGGCAGAGCCTGGTTCTTCGGCTTCCCCTTCAAAGTGAAATGCAGAATCACCCACCTCGTTAGCTTCCCGCTCCCGTTCCCTGTCCTGCTTCTCACGTACAGGCGTACGAGCTGGTACTCCCATCTGTGCCAGGAGGGCTGGCAGAGGAAAGCAGCGGCAGATGCCGGCTCAGACAAGGCATCAGCTGAATCCTGCCAGTGAGGACCCGCACCCACGGTCCAGAGGCTCTCTGCGGCCATTCTGCCCTTGGTGTTTTCTCCTCTCCCTTTTCTTTTTTAATGCCTGAATGGGTTTGGATTAGACAAGACCTTCCCGAGTGTACACAACGCTTCTGCCAGTGCACAAATACACGAGAGAATACTGAGTTTCCACAACTGTTTTTATATGATTTGACCAGACTGGTACAAGGTTAATTAAAACCCCCAGTGTTTAAATGCAGTTTCATCAGAAGAAGTGTAAAATGCTTCTGCAAGAATCTCTGTCAGGACTTTTCAAAGATAGTGTACTTTACCTGGCAAAGCACAATTAGACACAGTCAAATATTGTCCTGGTTAAAGACTATTAATTTTCCTTACATTTGTCATGAATTAATTTTTTCTGGCTATATCAACAGTGTTTCCTTTATAAATACAACTGGCTCCTTTACATTGAAAAATTAAATTTGCTTTGATAATGAACTGAGGTGCTAATAATCGTTTTGCAATGCAAAAAAGTGCAATTACTGGCTGCCGTGCCATGCAGTGCCACAGTCAGCTGTAACGGTCTGAAAGTCTGCAGTGGTACCGGTGGACACGGTGAAGACAGTCGAGAGTTGCTCAGGGTTGCAAAGACAAAACCTACACCAGCTGGAGAGCAGAGCAGCGACGCGGGGCTGTGAGGGCTCTGTTGGTCCCTCCTGCCTCTGCAGCCGGGCAGGGGCTGGCAGGGCTGTGCTGGGGGTCCCGTGAGCCGGACCCTGCTTTGCCACCGACACCAACCCAGGCTGGGAAGCCGTTTGTGCTGCTGGGCACTGTCAGCAGGGATGTGAATCCCTGCACCCCAAAAGGCTTGGGAAAAACTGTGCCAAGGTGATGAGGATTTCTTTCCCTCTCCAGGATGTCCTCAACATGCCAGTGGCAAGGAGCAGAAGGGACATGCAGCCGCCAGCTTATGCCTCCTTGCCTCAAACTTCTGCCCAGACCTCAGATGGAAGCAGGACTGGAAGCAATAGCTCTTCAGGCTCCCGCGCTCCTCTGACATACTTTTACCTGTCAGGGCACACACAGGTTGGGCATTAGTCTAAACTCCTTTGGCTTTCTCTCACATGTGTTGAAGACAGAAAAGCAGAGGACTTGAGGTACCAGATCAGTGCGCTAAAGATGATGATGAGGAGTACGACCTACACACAACATCCACTTTAGGTAGTGCTTCCTACATTCAACTGAGGCAGTTTTGCTCATGTATTTTAAAAGTTTAAAAAAGCTCAGAATGTGTAAGTGTGCATATTTAAAAAAATACATTATTTTATAGCTTGGTGTTGACATTGTTCTTTTGTTGAAAGTAAATCATTAAAGGAAAAATTATAAGACAAAATGAAAAACCATGGTGCATAGAAAATCCACCAGGATTTCAATAGAAACCTCTTAACGCAGAAGCTAAGAGGAGGAGGAGGATAAAGCTTTGCTTGGCCTGCTTCAGTGTGTGCTGAATATCCCATACAGTGGGGTTCTTAGAGCTTATGTTCTGCCTAAGCCCTAAAGAACAGGATACAAATGAATTTTTGCAGGACCTAGTGATTAGGAAGCCACAAGGCTGGAGACAGGCTTTCATGCTGATGTTAGTTCTCCTGCTCTAGCATTGCTTTAGAAAGTGCATCCACTGACATTTCAGCACCAGCAATCCACCGAGCACCTCACCCATGTGGGCAGCTTCCCTCACTCATGCTTGGTTAGCCTGATGTATTTTTTGCCTTGTTTAATAACTCTTGCAGAGCAAGAGATTCCCTCCCGGAGAACACCTGAGAAGGCTTGTGCCACGACACTGAGAAATGGGACAGGGTTTAATCCAAACTTAGCATTTCCATTCACTGCTCAAGTCATCTTCCAGACAGATGCACACCCTGCGAGCTGAATTCAACCCCATTTCCACAAA